GCTCGCTAGGAAGCCGTGGGTCCTCCTGCAGATCCTGACGGCAATGCGGGAAGGACTTCTCGCAATCCTCGCCCCGGCGGCCAGCGGCGACGGCCTTCAGGTGGTCCTCAGGGCCCGCCGCTCCCTCGGCCAGTGTGTTGCTGCGGACACAGAGGGACTTGGCTTAGGAGGAAGGTGCTAGGAGGAGGAACAATAGATAGTGAACGAAAAGAGAGAAAATACTTAGATAGATAGAGAGGTATTACCCTTACTGATAAATTAGGAAGCAGGAAAACTCATTCCCCAGCCACCGTGCAACCTTCTAACCCTGCCCTCTTCCGGGCCAACTGGCCCACCCAACCAAAGCCCTGCGGAGGCGCTGCTGATCCTTACCTGAGGAACTGCAGGGCGAGGCGCGGGGCGAGGGAGAGCGACTGCTGCTGAGCGCTGATGCGGCAGAGGACGCGCTGGAGGCAGTGCGGGTGGGCGTCGCCAGACAGCGCCCGCGTCGCCTCCAGGAGAGCCGGCACCGCCTCGGCGCTGGCGGCGGCCTGCAGGTCACGCCCGCCGCCCAGCAGGGATACGACCTGGCGGAGTTGAGTTACAGGTAATCTCTCTTTCAGCAGCGTTGTCAATATCACTGTGCTATCATCCTTATCATTAACGTTATCATATTCATTACCTAATGATTAATAAATCATCATTTTGGCCTGTTATCACCATTAGAATTTCAATAACAATAATAATGAGGATATTAATTTTGTTAATGATAATGATAATGATAAAAATGATGATATCGTTATTATCATTATCAGGGAGGGAGAGAGGGAGAGAGGGAGAGAGGGAGAGAGGGGAGGAGGGGGAGAGGGGAGAGGTAGAGAGGTAGAGAGGTAGAGAGGTAGAGAGGTAGAGGGAGAGGGAGAGGGAGAGGGAGAGGAGAGGAGAGGGAGAGGGAGAGGGAGAGGGAGAGGGAGAGGGAGAGGGGAGAGAGAGAGAGAGAGAGAGAGAGAGAGAGAGAGAGAGAGAGAGAGAGAGAGAGAGAGAGAGAGAGAGAGCATGTACTCATGGGTGTATGTGATGTGCCTTCAAATACCAATTCAGGGAGAAATTCCCGCACCCAGCTCCAGCGATGCCCTCACCTTGGCCGCCATTCCACCTGCTCCCTCCTCGCCCTCGGCGTTGCGGCCGAGGAGGTCTCCGTACCAGGCGTTCATGCCGCGAGTAAAGCGCCGGGAGCGCGCGCTGCGCAGCGGGTCCTGCTCCTCCGGCCGCTCCCCGTCGCCGCCCGACGGACTCTGCAACACCAAGGATATACTTATAGCCTCCTTGTGCAGCAAGAGCTCAATGAGCCTGAAGACCAAGGCAGCACCGCAGAGCATGGCCTTCGCCAAAGCAAAGTCAGGGACGAGACGTACCGGCGACAGCGTCGGACAGGAACCAAAAAGAATGAACGGAGCTAGCAAAGATTCAGTTACTAAGAAGAGGGAATGTGTGCGTATATTTCATAAATAAAAATAACAAGCGTTAAGAAAACAAAGACGAGACTCGGTATAGCAAATATCAAATATATGAGAAAAAGAGCTCGGTGGAAAGGTGACATGAAATTGTTTGATTAAAGTTGTGGAAAGCCTATGCAAATCAAATAACCAGCCAAAGGCAGGTGTAAATGCCTTAGTACAGGAGCCAAGGGGCATTTTGGGGGTCGAGAGGGCCCCTAAATCACTCACTTGATTTTTGTAGGGGGGGCTCCTGGGACACCTTTTTCAGTGTTTTGTCTGAAAAGGGGAAACTAGAATAGCAATAACTTTTGAACTAAACAACATATAGTCATGTAGCTTACATATAGTAAGTAGCTTACTCATTTTGTAGCTTAGGAAGGAAGCTACAAGATGAATGTAAGCAGGACTACTCAAACCAAAGGTCAAGGTCACCAGAGGTCAAACAATGGTGAAATTTAACACGTCTCAAATATAGGGCCTTTTGACTTGGACATCATACATGAAATGGAGAATCTTAATGTATTCTTAAATATTTTGTGTATTAATACAGGGCATATAACAAGAAAGTTTTTTTTTTTTTTTTTTTTTTTTTTTAACTAATGAACCTGTACTGAAATACATTCAGGTCTCCTGTTATTTGTGCTTCATGTCATAAAAATGCTTTAACGGGTCATTGTTTTCAGCTTCCATCACACGATCTTCTTCGACTAAAATTATAAATTCTGGTCATCTGCTATTGGCAATGGTGCAAATGCCAATTTAATTCATAATATATTTGGCAGGGGTGTAGTTAATGGTGGGGCAGGAGGCACATGCCCCCCGGGGGTTACGAAAAATGAGTATTTCATGCAAGTATTGGCCAAAAAATTGTAAAATACTGTACTCTAAATGATCTATTACATCCCCATCACCAAAAAGAACTAGATATGCCTCTGTTTACAAGGTGACCGCAACACATTTTTGTTTAAAAAGGGTAGAGTAGGCTTAAACGCTAATGGGGCCATTATTTGACCTCTGGTGACCTTGACTTTTGGTTTGAGTAGTCCTTCCCAAGCTACAAAATGAGTGGTTATACATGACTATATGTTGTTTACTTCAAAAGTTATTGCTATTCCCCTACCCCCAATTTTATGCATCCGAGGGTGCTGACTTTCCAGACAAAGCACTGAATAGCTCCATTAGTGCCGGTCTCAGCATGTCCACCCTCGCTAAAAAAGGTGTCCCAGGAGACCCCTTACAAAAATCAAGTGAGTGATTTAGGGGCCCTCTCGACCCCAAAATACCCCTTGGCTCCAGAATTACCTTAGAAATGCCCCGATCAAAAGCGGCAATAAAGAGGGCATTAAAAAGCCCGAAAGGAGGGAAAAGACCAGGGAAAGTGGCATCACAGGAGACGACGGAGCCATCGTGGAAGCAAGGCGAGCCAAACTGTTCAACAACTGTCTTGAAAAATGTCCTAATAAGAGGGCGGCGACGCATGCGCGTGACTCCCCGAGCGAGGCCGCGAGCCACGAGCCCCGCGACGCCGCCGCGCGGAGCCCGCCCGCAGAGGACTCACCGGCAAGGATCGGCGCACCCTCATAGGACTCGGGTCTCGCAGGAAGTTCATGATGGAGGAAATCATCTTGAGGCGCGAGGTGAGGAAGCCGCCCACGGTCATGGCCGCCTCGTCACGTCCGTTGCGGTCGATTCGGTTCTGCTGGAGGAAATCGGAAGCCATGGTTTTGCTGCAAGGGAGGGAGGGAGGGAGGGAGGGAGGAGGCAAGGGAGGGAGGGAGGGAGGGAGGGAGGAGGCAAGGGAGGGAGGAGGGAGGGAGGGAGGAGGGAGGGAGGAGGGGAGGGAGGAGGCAAGGGAGGGAGGAGGAGGGAGGAGGAGGGAGGGAGGGAGGAGAGGAGGAGGGAGGGAGGAGGAGGAGGGAGGGAGGGAGGAGGAGGCAAGGGAGGGAGGGAGGGAGGGAGGGAGGCAGGAGGAGGGAGGGAGGGAGGGAGGGAGGAGGCAAGGGAGGGCAGGGAGGGAGAGGAGGCAAGGGAGGAGGAGGGAGGGGAGGAGGGGAGGGAGGGAGGGAGGGAGGCAAGGGAGGGAGGGAGGGAGGGAGGAAGGGGAGGGAGGGAGGAGGAGGAGGCAAGGGAGGGAGGGAGGGAGGGAGGAAGGCAAGGGAGGAGGGAGGGAGGGAGGGAGGAGGCAGGGAGGGAGGGAGGGGGGGAGGGAGGGAGGGAGGAGGCAAGGAGGGAGGGAGGGAGGGAGGAGGCAAGGAGGGAGGGAGGGAGGAGGCAGGCAGGAGGGAGGGAGGGAGGGAGGGAGGAGGGAGGGAGGAGGCAAGGAGGGAGGAGGAGGAAGGGAGGGAGGGAGGGAGGGAGGGAGGAGGCAAGGGAGGGAGGGAGGAGGGAGGAGGAGGAGGGAGGGAGGGAGGGAGGAGGAGGGAGGGAGGGAGGGAGGGGAAAGGAGGGAGGGAGGGAGGAGGAGGCAAAGGAGGGAGGGAGGGAGGAGGCAAGGGAGGGAGGGAGGAGGAGGCAAGGAGGGAGGGAGGGAGGAGAGGAGGGAGGGAGGAGGAGGAGGAGGGATGGAGGTATGGGAGGGAGGGAGGAGGGAGGGAGGAGGAGGCAAGGGAGGGAGGGAGGGAGGGAGGAGGAGGCAAGGGAGGGAGGGAGGGGGAGGAGGCAAGGGAGGGAGGAGGAGAGGAGGGGAGGGAGGGAGGAGGAGGGAGGAGGCAAGAGGGAGGGAGGAGGAGGAGGGAGGAGGGAGGAGGGAGGGAGGAGGGAGGAGGCAAGGAGGAGGGAGGGAGGAGGAGGGAGGGAGGGAAGGAGGGAGGGAAGGAGTGAGGAAGGGAGGGAGAGAACACATAGTTGGACCAATACACAAGTATTGTTTTATGCTTTGATGTTTTAGTGTCTTCTTTAATCATTTCAAAATAATAGTCACAACTGGAACATGCTCTCGACGTTAAATTATGAGAAACAGACCTATTCCACAAAAGTCTAAAAAACTAAGCAATTGTCTTTTTTGTCCCTATGATGTGTATTGACGAGTATAAATCTAGATTTTTTTCAGAGAGCAACGCTGTTATAAATGAACAGGACATGATATGAATTGACGTAAGTTATAATGGTAATTTACTTTCATTTCGAAAGTAATTAAAGGCAAATAAGGCTTCACACCAGGATACTTCCTTAACAAAATACTAATTGTTCTCAGTTCATTTAAGACATTTCGTCATGCGAGTTGTGACGCAAAAACTATAATTCAGACTCAATGCAGATGAATATATATAGGACAAAGGAATCGACGAATAATTCTAAAGATTGAGGGTATTTCACAACACCGAATTATGATATTGTGATATAATTTCCAGTTGTATCTTTATACCGCAATCAAAACATGGGGTCGTGAGCCCATTCGCTGTCATGCAAATGGAGTTCATGATCTTCAACTCCATGAACCGACCATACTCTTGTGCGCTGCATTCCTATACACATCTGAAGGGAAGCTAAAGGTAAAAGAGGAAACTGGCCTTTGGTATAAGGACGTCCTTTACCAACGACTGAACAACGACAAACCTTTATCAACATATTAAGGAAACACATGCAAGGCCAAAATCGTTGATATTTAGAATCATTATCCTTCTCTTTAATAATTGTAAAAGCAAAGCAGGAATCAGTAATGAAAAAGAGTGGAGAAATGTAAAAGTGTATATAATGCACTTTGTGTTTCCGACTGACTCTACTAAAATAATCATATAGTATTAATACAGATAAGACAAAAAGGTCAAAAATTTGCATAGAGGCAAAGGTACCTAAAGAGTCTCATCTCAATTGATAATTTCGTCAACTACTAGCTGGGTGAGAAGATGGACCGCAGAAACCTTTAGACACGTCAGACTAGCAGCCGCCTTCATGTTGCCAGCCCACGCCCACAGTACTCCCACAGCAGTAGCTCATAATCATAAGCCACACATCTCTTTCGTAGCTTAGGTGCTTAGTTCATTAACTGTGTCTGTGTACATGACCAGCCATCCTTCTACAGTTTAAAATCAGATTTGTTAATTCTATATGATGTGAAAATTGGGAACATAAATGTTTCAGTGATTTCAAACCACTTGCACTGTTAAAATGGTGCTTGTATTACATTTTGGTAATATCAAATACCACGGGCCCTTCCTTTGACTTTTTATGTTGATCATAGTATAAACATTCGGTATGTGTAGGTAATATATGGCAGCTGCCCATAATGAGATAATTGCTAATACAGCCCACTAGCTCCCTGGATATGGCCTACACACACACACATACACACACACACACCACACACACACACACACACACACACACACACACACACACACACACACACACACACACATACACATACACATACACATACACACACACACACACACACACACACACACACACACACACACACACACACACACACACACACACACACACACACACACACACATATATATATATATATATATATATATATATATATATATATATATATATATATATCACAGGGAAAAAGAAAATCTAGTAAAGTCGCCATGCAAATGTTTCCAAATTGAATATATATAGTAGACAAACGTTGTTATGGATTCCCAGTTTCCTAAAAATGCGAGAAAATGAGTACAAAAAATGACACTGACTCACCTTCCTGACCAGTCCAAGCGCCTGCGGGAGTCGGATGAAAAAATCCTCGAAGAAGGAGAGGCGTCGCGCGCTCGGGTTTCGGTCGGACGCGACTTCCAAATGCTCGCCCTCCTCGGACTCCGGGGAGTGCGAGAGCTTCAGCTTGTCTTCCTCCAGGCTTTCCACGGATTCCAAGGGCGTCGACTGATCTTCGTCCAGGGATTCCAGGGACTCCAAGGATTTCAGCTGCTCTTCGTCCAGGGACTCCAAGGACCCTAAGGGCTTCAGCTGCTCTCCTTCCATCGCGTCCTGGAGAGTGGTAAGCGATCGTCGACGGCGACCGTTGTTGTTCTGAAGGACATCCTGAAAAAGAGCTTTCATTGTAACTTCCATCAAATATCCAAAGGGGAAAACTCGCGCCAAACCGCACTGAGCCGAGTTGTGAGTTGACGTGAATGAGCATTGAGAGGGATGAAAGACAATGCTTATTTTCAGTCAAGAAATATTTCCCAAAGGGAAAGGATGCCATTCCTAATGCCTCAGTGGAGAATTTATCTGTGAGAAAATAAAACATTACACAGGAAAATGGAAAGTTATCACATTCCCAGTAAAAAAGTAGTTTGCTATGAATCGAAAAAATGGTGTTGATTATATTCTGAAAGAGAAATTTCTCTAAAGAGAAATTTGAGATGAAAACCAAGAGGAGCTTAAAACCCCAAACATGGTAGAGCTGAAACAGTTTATTGTCAAAAATGTCTTGTTCAGAATGGCGCCCGGAATCCTACGAATAACATAATATTATGAATACCGTAAGGATTCTAAAATTCTTAGTGAAATAACAGACCTACTTCAATCACACACAGAACTTAAAAATGAGCCGATTTTAACCTGGCCTCTTTCAGATCTGCTGATATGGGAGGAAAATTAGCCTCGTTTACAGACAACAAATCTGTTCTAAAATCAAGCCATAAACAGGCGGAGAAAATGAATAAAGGGCCAAAGCACGCCCTTAATCAATCACTGTAAACGCATAAAACAAAACAAAAAGAAAACAAATCGACAATAACAATAATAATAGTGTGAATTTGTACGACTGCAAAGGAGAGCCCAATGATGGCGTGGTCTGAACACATGAACCTTCTGACTAAAACGACTGATTTGAAGAGAATCGGCTGCACACGAACTATAACAGGAGCCCCAACCCCAACCTCACGAGCTATAACAGGAGCCCCAACCCCAACCACACGAGCTATAACAGGATCCCCAATTCCAACCACACTAGCTATAACAGGAGCCCCAAACCCAACCACACGAGCTATAACAGGAGCCCCAACCACACGAGCTATAACAGGAGCCCAACCACACGAGCTATAACAGGAGCCCAACCACACGAGCTATAACAGGAGCCCCAACCACACGAGTTATAATAGAAGCCCCAACCCCAACCACACGAGCTATAACAGGAGCACGAGGAGCCCCAACCACGAGCTATAACAGGAGCCCCAACCCCAACCACACGAGCTATAATAGAGGCCCCAACCCCAACCACACGATCTATAATAGAAGCTCCAACCCCAACCACACGAGCTATAACAGGAGCCCCAACCCCAACCACACGAGCTATAACAGGAGCCAACCCCAACACACCGAGCTATAATAGAAGCCCAACCCCAACCACACGAGCTATAAAAGGAGCCCCAACCACAACCACACGAGCTATAAAAGGAGCCCCAACCCCAACCACACGAGCTATAACAGGAGCCCCAACCACACGAGCTATAACAGGAGCCCCAACCACACGAGTATCACGAGCAAGCCCCAACCACACGAGCTATAAACAGGAGCCCCAACCCAACCACACGAGCTATAACAGGAAGCCCCAACCCCAACCACACGAGCTATACAGGAACCCAACCCCAACCACACGAGCTATAACAAGCCCCAACCACACATAAAACAGGAGCCCCAACCCAACCACACCGAGCTATAACAGGGAGCCCCAACCCCAACCACACGAGCTATAACAGGAACCCCAACCACACGAGCTATAACAGGAGCCCCAACCACACGAGCTATAACAGAGACACGAGCCAGGAGCCCCAACCACACGAGCTATAACAGGAGCCCCAACCACACGAGCTATAACAGGAGCGAGCTATACAGGAGCCCCCAACCACACGAGCTATAACAGGAGCCCCAACCACACGAGCTATAACAGGAGCCCCAACCACACGAGCTATAACAGGAGCCCCAACCACACGAGCTATAACAGGAGCCCCAACCACAACCACACGAGCTATAACAGGAGCCCCAACCCCAACCACACGAGCTATAACCCCAACCCCAACCACACTATAATACCACACGCTATAACAGAAGCCCCAACCCCAACCACACGAACAGGAGCCCCAACCCCAACCAAACGAGCTATAACAGGAGCCCCAACCCAACCACAGCAGCCCAACCCCAACCACACGAGCTATAACAGGAGCCCCAACCACACGAACTATAACAAGAGCCCCAACCCCAACCACACGAGCTATAATAGAAGCCCAACCCCAACCACACGAGCTATAACAGGAGCCCCAACCCCAACCACACGAGCTATAATAGAAGCCCCAACCACACGAGCTATAAACAGAGCCACACGAGCTATAACAGGAGCACACGAGCTATAGAGCCCCAACCCCAACCACACGAGCTATAATAGAAGCCCCAACCCCAACCACACGAGCTATAACAGGAGCCCCAACCCCAACCACACGAGCTATAACAGGAGCCCCAACCCCAACCACACGAGCTATAACAGGAGCAACCACACGAGCTATAACAGGAGCCCAACCCCAACCACACGAGCTATAACAGGAGCCCCAACCCCAACCACCGAGCAACAGGAGCCCAACCACACGAGCTATAACAGGAGCCCAACCCAACCACACGAGCTATAGCTATAACAGGAGCCCCAACCCCAACACACGAGCTATAACAGGAGCCAACCACACGAGCTATAACAGGAGCCCCAAGCCCAACCACACGAGCTATAACAGGAGCAACCCCAACCACACGAGCTATAACAACCCCAACCACACGAGCTATAACAGGAGCCCCAACCCCAACCACACGAGCTATAACAGGAGCCCCAACCACACGAGCTATAACAGGAGCCCCCAACCCAACCACACGAGCTGTAACAGGAGCCAAGCCCCAACCACACGAGCTATAACAGGAGCCCAAGCCACACGAGCAAAACAGGGAGCAACCCCAAAACGAGTAACAGGAAAGTGAAGTGCTAACGAACGAGGCTGAACATGAAAAGAAGAGTGAAGATATGACATCCCGTCTAACCAATTCTCAAGGAGTGACAGGACGAGGCCGTCTAAAGGCTGCACATCAAAGGGGCGAAAAAGCTTTACTTTCTTATAAAACTAAAGACATCAGCACATTGCACCGAAAGAGGACTGTTAGGAAAACTCTTTTAAAGATAGATGATTCATCCGTTTCATCTCGATTTTTGTTTATCATATTTTATATTTTCCGCCGTTCTGTTCAGTCCAATGCTCTAAATCCCCGTACCGCCAGCAGGGGCGTCTCAAGCATGATCCATTTGAGGAGGCTGTGTTATCATTCGCTCTTTCCTTTTATCTGAACCTGACTCCTGGGGCCTTAGTTCCTTGTGTGGCTCAGGGAAACTTACAACGGTCGGGAAGCAGGGCACTATTCACGCGCATTGACTTTGTAAATGTTCTGTCCAAATACATATGCGATAAGTTATCATATTGTTGTCTTGCGCAAATACGGCCTATGAGAACATCCCTTATCTGCTTTCTGAATGACGTCACTGTCTTTTCTTCACAAATCTAAGGCTTTAGCTATCTGGTCTAACACATCTAGGA